CGAGAAATTATCAAAGAGAAGAGTCTTGAAGTTCTATGCTGCTTCATCGCGTTCTGTACCGATATGGGTTAAGTAATCACGCCCGATTTTGACCTGTCCGAACTACTTCATCAATGCAGTTGCAGTGTAAGCATATAAAATCGCATTTTAACAAAGCATGGGGATGCTATTTGTAGGAAACATCTGATGTCCAGCAACCATATCAAAAGCCATCTTCTTTTTGCCCCCAGTAACCAAACTCCGAAACAAATATCGCTGACACGAGCTCGATGGCGGTTGAAACACTTCCAAACGAGCTGCACAGAGTCCTGCAGTCTTATCGCGTCATCTGAGGATGGCGTGTTCTGCCCGGCTCATTGAGCGGTGGTAAGTGCCGCTAAATTATTACGGAGCGAGCGAAGCGAGCGGAGTCTCATACTGAATTAAGGGAAAATCCTGAGTATGAGCGGCCGGCCGGCCGGCCGGCCGGCCGTGGGGACGCTCTTCAAAAGCTAATATCTTAGGAACGGGACATCCGATTGACAAGCGGTCTTCTTTACTGAATGTCACTTGGACGTAAAAGTTCTGTGGTGTGATGGCCACCATGCGTTCTTGCCAACCACCGCACGTGGCGCGTGGTAAAGTTGGACATTTTTTAAGAACCCCCAAAATTGCAACCTCAATAACGGCACAACGGCTGGGCCGATTGAATTGAAACTCGGTACACAGTTAGGTCTCCATCAGATAATTCATCTGCATGTGTTAAGGTTGGGGTGCTGCTGCACGTGCGCACGTGCAGGGGTCGTTTCCAGATCTCGAGAACGGCTGGACCGATGGCGCTCAAATTTGGTACACGGTTAGGGACCAGTTAGTAGGGTGCCGTGCACAAGTCAGTTGGGACCCATTTTGCACGTGCGCACGTGCAGGGTGCCGCTTACAGATCTCGAGAACGGCTGGGCCGATTGTGCTCAAATTTGGCACATCGCTAGAGACCGGTTAGTAGGATGCCGTGCACAAGTCAGTTGGAGGTACCCTCTCGAAATTTCGCACGTGCAAGGCCCACCCTCTCGCTCGCTCCGTTAGTCGCCCCATAAGGCGTTATACTGGTATCGCAGAGGGGAGCCCCTCGTTATCGCGATCTATGGGCGATGTAAAGGACTGCAGGGAAGTATGGCACCCGTATCCAATATCCATCCCTGTATCCAATACCTACTTCAACTGTGAGGAACACTGATCAGAACCTTTTTCAATGTGATAACATTGTGTTACTATCAACGACATCGCCCTTGTCGCTGTGAGACACTGGCATATCATCAAATACGATATATCAAAAGAATGGCGCCGCAACTCTCAGTTCCGCCGCGCCGCCCGTGTTTCCGCGAGATCTGGAGACCGCAGCTGCTCACAAGAACACATCACTCGCTGTCACGGTCACTGGTGCTCCTTTTTTGTGCGTAAATGGAGTCTCCGCTCGAATTGGTGCTACGCTCTTATGTAAGAATGCAGTCTCCGTGCGTTATGGGAACCCTTGTTTTATCGCGCCTGAATGGGTATACTGTGCCGCATGATTGATATGTTCTGCGGCACAGTATGCGTAAAAGTAATAAAACGACGAGACTGCATGGCCTCACAGCAGGGTATCACCACCCATTGTCCAATGTCCATGAGGTTTCGACGTCGCTTTGTGAAGTGATATTGTGCACGGTATATGCATTGCCGCACTCTATGCGTTAGTTAACTATAGACCTAATTGATGAAAGGGCTACTTATTTCGAGACCACCACTAGAGCACACTTCTTCAATAAGTGGTGATTTTACCCCAATGGTTTGAACAAGTACTCATAGGTAGAACAATAAAATTAGCATCTCTACTTTCTTTTCCCTTTATACTCTTCCACTTGAAACGCTTTTTTTGCATAAAACATTTCCTCTATTTTGATTAAAGCAGCAAAAACAAGTTCAAAACAATAACAATACCAGCCCACATTTCCTCGCACGTTACCCTAGATCCCCTGTCGGCCCCTCCAATCCCAGTCACGTCTCTATTGGGCTCAAATCCGCCGCCCCGCCAGGCTGCGTCCCGCCGCGGGTCGAGGCACGTGCAGGCGCGTCCCGTGGCCACCGCAAACGACTTGATGACACTCGGGGCTGCGGCGCGCCGGTGTTGTCCGTCCGCGCGGCGACACACGGCGCGGTCGGTACCAATCTGGCGCACCAGTCACCGCGCCGCGCCCTCAGCGCCGGCTAAATGCCAACCGTAAAACGAGTCGCGGCCGGTCGGCCTATTGGACGGCAATCCAGGTGAGTTTTGTGTTTTATGGCGGATGTTTGCCTGGTGGCGCGATAGAGAGGCGTTTTGTTTAGTTTAGGGCCGATAAATTACCAAACATGGCAACTGGAGGCGGCCGGGGGCCGGTCCATGTCGGCGCCGCGCCGGTCCGGCCGGTTGGCTGTCGGCTGAGAGGCGTCCTCGCCGGGACAGGAGCGGCGCACGCTCCAACTAATGGCCTCTCGGAGGACGCAGGCCTCTCTGAGGGACCGCAGCGCGGGAAGCGTGGGCCGGAACACGGTTTGAATGTGTCCAAACACAGCCCGGAGCCGTGAAGCGTGCTCGCGAATCCACCCAAAACACTAAGCTCTGGTGTGAAGAGTTATCGTGAAGACAATATATGACCGTAATTTTGTTTGCGATACGTGCCTGCGATTGTCAGTTGAGCGTCAGTAAAACATGATTAAAAAAAACAATTTTCGTTGTAGATACCCTCATTTTATACCATAAATAACGTGCCATTTTATGAAAGCATGTCTCTTCTAGAATCTGATATTTGTCAATCGAGGGAAAAAAGGAAAAGACTTTTATCATGATAAAAATAAGCAGTTCCAGTCCACGGAAATGTAGCAGTCCACGCCAACCCCGACTAACCCCGTTAGTATGAAACGCTCTTGATAATAGTTTACATCCAAAACGCCATACGTTTGATATTTTTTCGAGTGACCCCTTCCTCTGCCATCAGCTCTAACGCGCGCATAACTGAGGGAGACGGCTGTGCGAAGCTTCCTCCCATTTTCTTCAATATCTTCTAAAACTCTGACCGTATCAGCACGGACTTTCAGGAATTTCGGCTGCACCAATTTGACACCTTGTGCCCAACTTGTGCCTATGACGGAATGTCGTAGCTAAATACATATAGTAGGTCAGCCGTAAATGATGTCAGAGTGACGTCATGTTCAGTCGATACTGTTGCGAAACATGGTTCTTCCGCCTCTTCGGCAATCACTTTTAAGAGCACCTTTTTTAAAGTTAGCACCGATTTCTTTGCACGAGATGACAAACGTTACAGCACTTCCAAACTGCTTTGTTTGATTTTTAAAGTTTGGAAATAACCTTAATAATACAGTGCCTAATAATTTTTGATAAATCGTGCAAGTTTTTTAGACTCATGTCTTATCGGACTAAGTGCCGCCGCCACTAATGAAAAGTCATTTGCCGTGCTTGTTTCATTATTACAAACGCAAAGCAGCCAGTTTTTCTACGTCAATTACTGTAACCGATGACACTTAAACACGACAATAAATAAGCCAGAATACAAGCCACAAAAACCATTCGTATGACCCCATCGCTACAAACTGATGGAAAAACCTGCCCGTAGTTTTTGAACGTTACGTGACACTCATGCACCTAGGAACCGAATTACACATGAGGTATCCTAGCCCTCTATGCCACCAACTCGATTGTCGGATAAATAACATCATGTAAGCATCAGTAACTCGGCTGACAGGTCACAGAAGGCCGTATCCAGATAAGTTTAAATTGTCAATTTAGCTTCTTAAAACTATTGACTTAGGCACAAACTAATAAAAAGAGCCGCACGAAAATTTTCCCGGCAAAAAACTTCTCCGGGAATTTACAAAGGCAGCAACGTATTAGTGAGGATGCAGTCGTAACACTATTGGAGACAAAATGCTCGTAAGGATGCGACGCCCTATCTGGAAAACTTTTAAGCCGCAAAGCTCAACCAAGAAAAGTTATTTACATGTTATCCACCGAAAGTCCCCTGAAGCCCTATGCTGCTGGTTCGATACAAGTAATCCGGTTCGAGACTCGGCATGCTCGTCTGCGCTTTCACTTTTACTACGATGCTGTTTCTCATAGAAGTAATATGGGAATATGCATGCTAAATCGATTTCAGGTAGTCAGTAATCTAACAGTTTCAGGACCATGGGATGCGAGATTGGGAGTTGTCGACCACCGTTTGGCGTTGTTGCGCCGCAGTGGCTGAGCTTGTACCATTTGGACGGGATTGTTCTAATGGGACGCGCCACCCAGCCACGTGTAGGTCCCGAGGGTGGAGAGGGCGGACAGAGTAGGTAAGCTATCAAACCGTCGAGCTTGTTTTATCTGCTTTGGAGGAATCAAACAACGTCCTTCTAATCAAGTCTTTTCAGAGCCGAACGACACTCGCTCGAAACATTTAAGGAGCAAGACACAGCGGCATCGAAACATCGGCACTTTATAATCACTTCCATGAGCTCTTGATTTTCGGCATTGCCTTACGCTAGAAACTTTGCATAGTATATCAGTTTTTGCGACGCTCTCATTCGTTGATGCCGCCACCATGGTTCGACTTTGTGGACATGCATATTGCCATATATTGCATATTGCAGTGCTGCTACCGCCACCTGGAGGACAGCTTTGCTAGTTATGTTATGACTGGAACCGAGACTAGAGGACAGCACCAACTACGATGCCGTGACGACCATTTATGCATGTAGCATGCAGCGTGACATGATACTGGCCGTGAATGACGTTCGTTTTCTATGTTGAGTGGTGTCCATTTCACCAAATGCCTGTCGTCCTGGAGTCAGAGTCTCCACTCCGTCCGATATGCGCTAAAATCAGTGTTTAGAGAACGTGAAGCATCCTCGCGTTTCATTTTTTCTTTTCTATCTCTTTGTTACCTTGTCGCCGTTTACGTTGGTCGGTTTCTCAACACCGTATTGTCTTATGTGACAAACGAATATAATATTACTCATTATATTTCAATGTCAAGTTTACATCACAGAGGGTTATGGCGCCACATCAACAGAGAATGGCGCACGGTGCTGATAAAACGCCGACCAATTATAAAACATCAATAGGCGATATAAAACAATCATAAGCTCATGTTGACTCTAGTCGACGCACGCAACAGGTCAGTTGTTAGCAAAACTCTTCTACAAACTCCAACCTTTGAGTCGCGATCTCCAGTTATCAGATACGTTGATACAACGCCCATCCAAAAGCACGACCACGATTGCGAATCTGGCTTAGCCCACACACATAGGTGGTTTTAATTGCGTCCGGACTGCAGTGATTCCATACAAACAGCAACTGTCGTCGAGATCTGCCACTAGGCTCCCACGATCACAGCGATCACAGGGATCCTACTGGGTATATACAGGGCAAAGAAGCAGACGCTTTTTCCGCTGGAAGCCGGTCGTCAAAATATCACTCAATTAACTTAGCACACACGTTTTCAAAGATCGTCACACCCACTTCAGAACTATTAACACACACAAGTAACATCTCATAAAACGGTCATGTGATAACAGTACAGCCCTACCTATCCAACTCTCAACCCAGCCTGGTGCCGCGCTAGTGCCTTACTTCTCCGGGCTTCGCTGCGGACTATGCGCTAATCTCCAGCATTCCCTGTAGCACGCTCACGGCTCACAGACTTCCCACGTCGTTGTAGCGTTTGAGTTTGGCCGGGAAGTCATCCCTGTAGAGTACGGGGTCCGCGCGGAACTGCGCGGAACGGAGCGGCATTCCGCCGAACGCGGACACAAACTGCTGGATGCAGACGGAGCGCTCGATGAAGTGGCTCTGGTTGGCCGACAGGTCGCCGCCGCTGCAGTCGGCAGAGGTGCACTTGAACTTCTTACGGGCAGCCACCTGCGCGACGGGGAAGGGGTCAGACGGCTGATCAGGCCAGGCTGTGTGAGCAAAAGAGGAAAGAAAGACGAATAGTATACAAATCCTTAGGTACCTACATAACTATTGATCACAGGCGAAGACAAGTTGAAAAGACGCACAAAAAGTTTTCAACGTCTTTTGCTTTTGTAATTCGATGATCAGTACAGCCGACGTTCCACTGCAGCTCCACCCAATCAACAGTAAACTAATGCCAGTCCCTGAAGGTAATCCCCGATAAAGTCGCCTAATGCCTTAGATACCCGACCCCCGTTCTATCATCGTTACCTTGATGGGCGCCTTTCCGGTGATGTTGGCCACCAGGAAGTTCATGGCGATGTCCTCACAGTTCATGTTGTCGTCCACCCAGTCTTTGACACCCACCGGCAGCGAACTCGTGTACCGGTAGTTCCAGTACTGAGGACACAACGCAACTGAATTTTATTACCAATGAACCAGCAGTGGAGGGGCATGATAAACGAAGTGATCCAACTTTGCCTACATAGCGATAGAATACCGTATTTTGTGGTAGATATTTACCCAGCCTTGTGGAATATCCTTCCTTATGGTAGATTCCCCTACCTTGTGGTAGAACGCTGCGCCGGTGAGCACCATGGAGAGCTCGCTGGTCCACTCGGAGTCGTACCCCCAACGGCCGGTGACGTTGTTCCACACGTGGTTCCGGGACGGAAAGCCCACGATCCGGTCCGGGTACTCGCGCCACACCTGCCACAAAGGCACAAAACTGAGCGTGAAGCGCGGTCTAACACGTAAAAAGCCACTGTTTGCACGGTGAAAAGGAATACATGGGCACAATGTTATCACATTTGCCCTGCATAGGTACTACTGCAAGTCGCAAACCAAACATTAGAAATAAATCGCTCGAAGAACGCAATAGGCATTCAGTGATGCAGTTCTGTTTGAAATAACACATTTTACCCAAATGGGGACGTGTTCGTGTCCCAAGGGTATCCAAGGGAGTATGAGTGGAGGAGACCAGAGAGCTCATGGGGTGCCGGCTCACCTGGTAGCCGAACTCGAGCTCGTCCACGGTCAGCATAGTGATGTCGTCGTCCAGCGCCAGCACGCACTCGGTCTCGATCTCGGCGTACGGGTAGAAGCGGTTACTGAGCCGGTTGGCCGCCGTCCGGATCACCTTCAGAGGCTTGGTGATGGTCGGCCATAGAGACGCTGTGACAGCCGAAACATAATTTAATCAGCAAGTGCAAATAAATGTGATTCATCAACCATCATTAATCAGAGTCCCAGATAGCTGGTGTTCCCACTTGCCAACCATGAATGACCAGCTATGCTTTTTGACGCAAGTGCAGCATTTGATAAGTACGAAGATTCACTTCACCAAAACAAGGTGATTTTGGCCCATGGAAAATGCAACAGATCGACGCCATCCTGACACACCATCTAACGAAATGAATGCGTTGCTGGTTTTCAATTAAAAGAAATAGGAAAGTTGTTTTGGGCACGTACCCGGCGGCGGTTCCTTTTTCTGGTTGTTCCACACGACCAGAACCTTGGTGAGAGAGGGCGCCAGCGCCACCTTCTCTATGATCTGGTACAGGCTGTCCAGTCGGTCATACGTTAAAATCACCGCTGTGAATCCCTGCATTCGTGGCGAGGTGTACGGAACCGTCAGCGGGTACCCTGGCGACACCTGTCGGCGGAAAAACAAACTGTTATAACAGACCCGCTACACCAGGTACAGGATACACGCCACGGCAGTGCAGTCGACTGTAAAATTCGGCGACGTGGCATTATCTACACTACAAGATGCCATGCCCAAAAACTGTTTTATTATTTTCGCTTTACACGAGCATAGTTCTCAGCTCACAGACCCATTACGCCCTCTCCCATCATCCCCCGTAAGACATCCACCCACCCGCGCCCCTCCGTCCCATCATCCCACCCGCCCAACCCACCAGGTGTGGCGGGTCGTTCCACTGCTCGTAGGACCGCGCCGCGTGCGCCAGGATCCGGTCGTTGACGATCTGCAGTGTAGTGAGCGCCATCTGTCCGAAGGAGCTGAAGTACTGTTCGTACACCCAGCGGGCCTGGGCGCGCATCTCCGCACGCCGCTGCGGTGAGATCTCTGCGGGAGAGACGGGACGAGTAAGCGGAGCAAAGAGCCAATGTGAGAGTGTCATCGTCAGATTTGCAGAGGCATGCATGCAGCCAAATAGGGAAGGATCAAGTGGCAACAAAAAGCAATCGTCTGATGCCAGGAGAGTTAGGGATGTCGACAAAGTTCTTGATGTACGAAAGACTTTTAAATTGTCAACATTCGTCCCCCCCCCCTGCGTCTGTCCATTTTGACAATGTCTCAGTGACGAAACAAGCGAAAACGAACAAGTATGAATGTAAATCTTACACTCGTGCTTTTTATAGAAGGAATTGATCTTTTTTAAGATCAATTCCTTCTATTCTTCAGAAGTAGTAAGTTTCCCCTAACAAATTCCGCTCGCGCTCGGTTCCCCATTTCCCGATCCTTCGGTGGTCTCACCTTTGATAATGCCGGCCAGCTCGGTCAGGTCCTGTTCGTAGACGTGCAGCCCGACCCGGGTCCAGTCTATGACCTCGGAGAAGGGGAGTACGTACAGATCGGCCGCCACCACGGGCACACAGCCGACCCGCAGCGCGTCCAACAGCTCCGGCGGGCCCAGCTGCGCGCGGCGGAGCAGGATACAGAACTCTGCGGACTGGGAGAGAGGGGGATAGAGAAGAGAGATGTGAGTTGTCAAAATTATCGACGTATACCGCAACACCACATTAAATGACACACTGAGAGGAAAGGAATGGATGCTTATAAAACGTCCGATGAATCATTCCATCTGTACATACCTTGGTTTCGCCGCACATAACCAAAAGAAACTGCAGATCCCTTACCATTCCAACTCATACTGCCCTGTCTTTTAGCTTAAGTATATCCAGTAGTCGTTCATACCTGCATCGTCTCCCAGTAGCCGTACTTTCCCGTCCCGTACCCGCAGTAAGTATTTCCCAGTAGTCGCCCCACCCCGTACTGGGGTATCTCGCAGTAGTCGTTCATAAATCATACCTGCATCGTCTCCCAGTATTGGTGCTGCCGTCCCTCTCCGTCACACAGTTGGTCCGTCTCCTCCGCACACCTCTCCAGTACCAGGGTTCGCCCGGAGACGTCCGCTGCGGCCAGGGAGCGCAGCGATCGACGGTACTCGGCGTGCAGATCTGGCTGGGCTGATACCAGCAGGTACCGGCTGGGGGAGGAGTGTACCAGGGTCATACACGGCGAGCGGCGATACTCGGGGTGCAGGTCCGGCTGGGGGGGGGGGGTCAGGTGCCGCGAGCGGCAGTACTTGGGGTGCAGGCCCGTCTGGGCTGATACCAGCAGCTACCGGCTGGGGGAGGAGGTACTAGAGTCAGGCACAGCAAGCAGCGGTACTCCGGGGTGCAAATCCGGCTGGGCTGATACCAGTAGGTACCGCCTGGGGGAAGGTTGTACCAGGGTCATACACAGCGAGCGGCGGTACTCGCACATCAGTGACAACAACATGCACCAACGGGACGGACGAAAAATTAACAGGTAAAATGATAACCAAGCGTGGGCTAGCAAATTGTAAAAATTGCAGTGTATCAGATTCAGAAATAATTGAAGCATGATTCCAAGCCAGAAGTAAGAAAGTTACAAACATTCCCAGGCACAATTAATTTGCGGCTTTGCCCCCCCTCCCCCGTGCCTTCCCTCTCTTCCACCCGCGCTCCCCTCCCCTCCCCGACTGACCGCGGTCTCTCCGGAGCCGGTGTGCGCGCGTCGTCCGGCTCATCCTCTCGCTCGCTGGGTGTCGGTAGCGATACGTCATACTTGTGTCGGTGGACCAGACTGGAGAGCCCGGCGCCGGCCAGCAGAGCCCGTCCCAGCCTCTCCTGGCCAGAGGCCGGCCATACGCTAAATACCAGGTGATTCTCGCCGTCATTCCAGCTGCGGGGGAGAGTGAAACACGCTGGGTGAGACGTTGAGGTTAGGGTGTTAGGTGCTAGGGTAGTTTCAAAATATCGGTGGTCAACTGTGAGAAGTTGGTTGGTATGATTGGTGTGAGGCCACCAAAGTAATTGTCGGAAATTAGACTCAAAGGCCCAAATAGTGACACTTTAGACACTGGATGCCTCAACAGAATTCGACGATACATTTATCGACTGGCTGATTTAGACTAACGACTAACAATAACAATGCTTGCTAGCTCTTTGAAACTGTTATGTTACGAGAAAAACCGGAGACAGAGCTCGGAGTTGCGTACCCCTCGCTGGTCGGGCGTGTCTCCCGGTTCAGACTCACTGCGGCAGCGAGGCCAGCGCTCTGACCGTCAGCTCCTCACTGATCCTGTTGGAGAGCGTGTCGACGGCCGGCAGCAGCAGGCACGCCTCCTCCGGGTCCTCTGTGAAGAACTCGCTCTCCCGCACCGCGCGCAGCATGTCGTAGTACTCGCGGGAGAGGGGCGCCAGCTCGCTGTGGCGGGTCTCCCCGGCGTACCGGGCGTACGGGTACACGTACACGGCCACGCGGCGCCGGTGCGGCCCGCCGCAGCGGTACACGTTCAGACAGGTGAAGTGGGAGCAGTTGGCCTGGCCGGCCGCCGGCGGCGGGTCGGAGGCGGTGAGACGCACCAGGGGGGCCGCGCTCAGGGTGTCTGCGGTCAGCTGCAGGGCGGCCGGCGCGGCCGGCTGCAGCAGCCCCCGCACCAGCAGCGCCAGCTCCAGCACCGCCAGCGCGATCAGCGTCAGCGCTGCCAGCGCAAAGTAGTGCCGCGCCGGCCAGCGCTGGCGGCGGCCGCCGGCGCACGACCGCTGCCAGGTGGGCAGGCCGCGCGACGACGCCATCACGGCTGAGGGAGAGGGCAGAGGAGGTCAGGGAGTGGCAGAAGGAATTCTATGGCTTTAGGGTTGATACTCAAAGTTCAAACATTCTGATGCATTCATAGAGACTTTGTGTCTTATGCTAGTTATTGGTGACAATGGACTGTGCACAGTGCGAAGTGAACAGTGAACGGCAGACGTTGCAGACGTTTTTAGACGTTGCACGGTGCAGCCCGAACAACGGACAGCAGCTGCGGTCGTCGGACTCCGAACCGCCCGGTGATTGGCAGCAGTCCTCAGCCGGGCAGTCCGAGACAGTTTACAGTTCACGATAAAAAAAGACCGTTCTGGTTTTTAACAACACCTTACACCCAATATCACAAATCACGATAGGCCGCTGGCTAGAGTTGTCCGTGCAGAATGTGCGCCGGCCGGTGCGACTACACAGGGCCCGAGCGGGTGACGATCGCAGGCTCCTCTCCCGTGACTGGATGACTAGACGTGGGTCGAGCCGGAGCGGTGTTTCGAGCCGGCCAGCTCAAAGAACAGCACGTATGCCTTTCCACTGTTGACGTTTCTCTGATCCATCACGTGGACCCGCGAGTCGTTGTACTCGTACCACTCTGCCGTGTACGGGTGTCGGCAGTAAGCGGTGTAATGTCCTGAGAGCAGCGTGCCAGAGTGGTTCGCCACGCCGTATAGGCTGTACCGGCAGGGCGTCTGTCCGGCCGAGTAGGGCGACAGGTCCAGACCGTTCATCGAAAAGTCGACAGTGGTGTTCAGCTTTCCGCCGAACCTCTCCTGAGTAGAGAACCGCTTCAGGTGCACCACGAGGATGCGCGGGAACTTCTGGATCGAGAGGCTCCTGGTGCACTTTTGGTGCTTCTGGCACTTTGAGCAGGTCGGTTTTTCGTCGCCATCGAGCACCTCCTCTTTGGTGAACAGGTCAAAACAGGCCTGTAGGTGCACCTGGCCACTTCGTGACGGGATTGGCAGACTCAGATCCCAGAACGGGTCGAAGGTAACCGATTCGTGGCCACATACCGTGCACCGCAGGGTAGCCTTGAGCTGGCCCACGAACAGGTCAACAAACTTGGAGTTTTCCAGGCGCAAGAAACGTTTCCAGGCCTCCATTGACTTTTGACTGGCGCTCATTGAGTCGTCGATGTCGGTCGTGATCGGCTTTGGCCGGCTCGTCACCCGGTTCACGTCCTCGTGAAGTCCCTCCAGCAGATATCTGAGGAATTCCTGCGCGTCCTGCTGCTGGGAGCCCATGAAGCGCGGCGCGAGCCGTTGGATCATCGACTTGAGTGGTGCGGTGGTGAGCACCCGCTCCGTTTCGTCCGAGGATGTCCACATGTCGCGTATCAGAGCGCAGAATGTGTTCATGAGGGACCCTTTCGTAGCGGCGGCAGGCATGCTGGCATCTGAGGAGCGTCCATCGCGCAGGATGTAATCGTGGAGAGCGCGTGTGTTGCTCAGGCACTGGACGACTGTGTTCAGGAAGCAGGTGTTGCCCGTGTTCCTGAGACCGGTGAGACCGAGCGGTCTGCCGTCAGATTGACTGCCAGTCCCGCCGCCGTCTTCGCTGGGGTTGCCGGGCAGTGAGCGGTGAGCGGTGCTAGTTATTAGTTCTATAGCAGGGGTGCAGATGAATTCAAGATAACAGGAAGCATTGGCAGTGGTAAGCAATAGAAGCTCCTTACCAAAATAATGCTCTGATTTTCAGTAGGTAGTACCAGCTAGGGCTGATAATCATAAATCTTCTGTCATACCATTAAGTATTAAAATTTTTCACAAAGGCATATATGAGACTATGATAAGTAAGGTATCTTCCAAGCCATGGTGCACATGACCACAATTCAGAAAGCTAAGCTATGTAAAGTGTAAACTGTAAACTCTCACTCCATTATCAGTTCTAAAAAATGTGGAAGCGAAACAACCAATTCAGTTGGGTGTATTAAAGTGACATGTCCAAAAAATTGTGTTTTAAGTGAAATTATTGTCTTTATAGATATGGTGTTGACTTGTTGAGTGCTCTCGCAAGGAACATATTGTTATAATATCTCAGAATGAATGACCTTTTTCTCGAATATTGAAAAGGTCATTCACTCTGAGATATTGATTGTCATAGCATTTATTACTCCTAAATTATTAGTAAAATCGATTCATTACCTACCTACCTGGCTAAAATGCCCCTGATCAGCAGCTTGGCCATCAATTATGCTGGCTGCCACGTTTTGCAGACTGGCAATTATACCTCCATGCCAATGCTGCTCATACAGCAGCCCCCTTACCGTTAGAAGTCTCCTTCTTATAGGACAAATGGTAAAAATCGTCCTAAACTACTGATGACGACGAGTCAGATAGGTGAGAAATAGAGAATAAATAAAACATTTCCAGTTTCCACACACAACCCACAACACAGAAGCCCTATTTCTTTGCCCCAATACATTTCAGTCTGTTCAGTGCTTCTATTTCCATCCGCAGAACCTTACAATTTGCTAAGCAACGCGCTGTTATCTGCGATTGTTGGAATTGGTTGCTACGCAACTAGCGCCGATGTGCACTCGAGACATGTGTAATCGAACAAAAACAAGAGAACCCCTTTGTCGCTGTCGCGTCAAATGTGTATTCTTTTAGTAGTATCGTCCAAATGGAATTTCTGCGCATCCAGCAGCTCTCTGCTCCGGGTACTCTGCTCGATCCAACGATGCTTTTCAATTTCAGGGCTTTGGGCTTGATGATCGCGAATCTGCTGCTAGGTTGACGAACATGTTGGTTTTCTGTGCTAAGTGCAGTCAAAATGGCCTTTGTCATAACACTGAACGTCTACCTTGATCTCATTCTACGCAGTTTTTTTTGTGAGCGTCTTTTGTCTCCGAGCTCAGTGAGAACGATTGGGGTGCGAAAGGTGCCCGCTAGGCTTAGCTTGGCTTGGCTCGATCTCACTGAAGAGTGAAATGGCCTCATCGCGGACTAAAGCAGATCACTTCATTGGAAGTTTGACGTTCATCGGCATCGAGCTAGACATGAACTAGACGGTTGTTTACCATTTTCATCCGAATCCACTGGCATTGACATCGTTGACCGTTGCATACAGCCACTGCGGGCGCAGGTCGTCACAACAGGCAGAAAGCACACAAATCATGGACACTTCTTCATTTGCAAAAGATACGCTACATATACAGGCTCGATGATCATGAGATGACATTTGGCATAACTTATAGCAATGCGCAAAACACGGACACAAATCAACAACGATGAAGATGTATGTGAACAATGAGCTCATTTTGCCGCACTTCTTATTCTGGCGCCTTGGAGTTCGGAATATCGGCCCGCGATAGCTCAGCTCCCGAAAGACGGCCCGGAGGCAACTGTGAGGCACCCAAGCGTCTCCTCGCCGACAAGTATTTCCCATCGCATCTCATCGCTCCCCCTAAGGTAAGCCACACGCACCTTTCACATCGCTCTCGCGTCCCGGTCGAGGGCACATTTCCACAGTTTCTCCCACTTTCACTAGTCGCTATCGTCCGAGTCGAACAGAGGCCCCATCTGGAGGTCCGAGTCGGCTCCGGCCGCGTCCACGGGCGTGACGCCCAGCTCTGGCTCCATGAACTCGACCAGCTCCTCGGGCAGGTGGTCCTGCAGCAGCACGTGCCGCGCCGACGCCGCCGGCAGCAGGTCCTCGATGAAGCCGAACCAGTAGATCACCATGCCCGGCCCGAACCTGCGGCGGATCGCGAGCGGGTCTGTCAGCGGCGCTCGGAGAAATTCGCAACACCGAACGAAATGTGACATTAAAGGGTTGGATCTAACAGTTGCCATCTCCAATATCGACCATGCGTTGACAAATTCACAACTTGTCAGAACAGGGTTCACACTGCAACGCATGCAGATATGCTCTGCATTGTAGTCGCTGTGTCCCACCAAACGGCAGTCACTAGTACTACGGTAGTCACCGTCCGGTAGCGCCTTCGGTAGTGACTCGCCACTCGGCAGACGTGTCGTCAAAGGAACTATAACTCACCTGTTCCAGTACTTCTCGTACTGGTCGCGCATGTACCCCTCGTGGGTCTCGTCATCTCCGAACGACGCCTTGCTCTCTATCCAGTTCACCACACAGCCGGACACCGCTGTAACGTGCAGTACGGGTTAGACGGGCAATATTCAACGAATATGCATCGTTACAAAGCTTATTGTCTTGGTTGTAGTTCCCGAGTACCGATAAATTAGATACTCAAATTGTCACATATACATTTGACACCAACACTCTTATTTGCTAAGAAATAGCTTTGATTTCTAAAAGGTCGTTTGTGTGACGGTAATATACGCAAAACCTTACCTCTGACTGATTTACATTTTACGCATCTTACAATTATCCACTTTGTGCACCTTAGTTGGAGCAGCTGGCCAAGCTGACATCCCCTCCACTCTCCAGTTGCCTTTCCACACAGTTTCTCCTCTCTACCACCTCTTAGCTCACCGATGGGGACGTCAAGCAGCACGTCGGGCGTCTTGTCCTGGCCGCGCCGCCGCAGATCCTCCTCGTCCAGGAACGGCACCCCCATCAGAGTGAGCTGCTTCTTCAGACGCAGCTCGTACTCGAGACCCACCGTGCTGCGTACAGAGGGCGGAAGGGCGGCGTCACGTACCGCGACCGGGCGGACTTTGAACGGACGAAGCGGCGACCTCACGGTAAAAAGCGGTAAATAACCGATTACATTACCAGAAGTGAGCATTGGGAAATGTGAAGCACTGACTTCATTTTATACTTGACATCTCTTCCGCAAGTACCGTTACCGTCTTTAATTAAGTAGGTTCACTGGCCCCGGTGCCGAGAGTACAAATCAATTTCCCCAACCCCTCACTCACAGTTTGATCATCTCGGCCATGGGTCCGTAGCCGTTGTCACTGAGCACGCAGAGCCGCACCTCGGCCGAGACGCGCGGGTCGCGCAGGCCGTCCGGCTCGCGCACCAGCTGCGCCAGGCGCTGCCGCTTGCCGCGGTCGGCCAGCTCTCGGTACTCGCCGTCCGTGTCGTTGGCGTAGCAGTTGAGGACGAACTTGGCGAGCAGCGCGGGCGCCACCTGCAGCCGGCTGGCCATCCGCAGCAGCACGCCCGCCGGCTCGCCGGCGGACAGGCTGTCCATGAACCTGGCCGGTGGGATGCTAATTCAAACTTTCATTTCATGACATCACATTTTACCCACTTTACTATTATCTTTCATTTTGACTCGGCGCCAAGATAACCTCTGTAACTTTGGTCATGGATTGGGGATGCCTGTCCATTAAAAGGTAAAAAAAAAAAAATAAGATGGTGTTGGTCTGAGACAGGCCACTGTTCAGCCTCCACAGCTGAAATGGGCTTAATTCATTCACAGTGTGAGCACTCTTGAATGGAAGTCTTGCCTATAGATATTAAAACTATATAACAGGAAACATGAAGATAAACTACTGAATTCGGTTACGCAAAAATGTGCAGAAATATATTAGTTCAGTACCTTTAAAAGATTGTTCAGAAAATAAAGACAAACAACAAAAAAGGATGCACAAAACTCTTAACCCTATTCCTGGCGGGCTCCGCCGGGACAAGAAACTGGCGGGGGGGGGGGGCCGATTCGGCCCCCCCCCTTCAGATCTCAAAAACTACACATCGCAGCGACAAACGGTAAACGGCATCGGATACGCACGGTCAAGATCTACAATTTTTATTAAGGTCATTTTCAGGTCAGGTCAAAGATGACGTCACAGGGGTCGAAAAAGTCAAAATGGCGGCGCTAGATATGGAGAGTTTTTCTCGAATAACTTTCGAATTAGTCAAGATAGGAACAAACTAAGGGCATCATCGTGATCCTCTCGTCAATCCGCATCGAATGATATATATGACCTCGAAAGGTCAAGGTCAAAGGTTGACCTCAGGTCACGTGACCTCGAGGTCATCATGTATATCATTCGATGCGTCTTGACGAGCTGAACACAATGAGACCATCCACGCGTCTGTATCTTGTTCCTGTACGGAGTTATTGGCCAAAAACCTTTGGTGACCTTTGATGACGTCACATGACCTCACAGCTGCCCAACAGCAAAACAGACCTCAAGGTAGTGAAGGTTGATCGTATATGAAGTCATGTATGGTATATGGGGCCATTCCGACCCGTTTTAGTGGTAAAAACAGGGAGTTGATTTTTCCCCCATTGACTTATAATGGTTAGGTGTTGTTTAATCCCCCGCCATCTTTAACGAGCTTGCAAAAGATGACTGTAGTCATCACTGTCAACCGTGGAAGCCGTATGGCTACCCATCTACGCTGGAGTACGAAAAACATCATCTCATGACTTATAATGGGGAGGTCGCGAAACTGACCTGACCTTAGGTCACCGATATCAAAATTCCGAGATATACAAATTGCACATACTGGTACCCTAACTAAAGCCTGAAGAGAAGAAATTGATCGGTCAAAAACTCTAGCTCTGGCGTGATTGCAAACTTTTCTGAGGTAGGGTCACCAAACCGCCTCTGGTGACCTGACCTGAGGTCAGATCAACTCAAAATTTTCAGACATGTTGCGTAGAAGCCTTTTAGGAAAAGTCAGAAAATTTGAGCTTCCTAGCTCAACGCGTTTGGGAGAAATAACCAAAAAACCTCAGGGGGGGGGGCTCCTGAGGCCCCCCGCCAGGGATAGGGTTAACAAAAAAAATGTGACTTCTTCACAGCTCTAATGCCTAAGACTTACTGTTTATAATATTTGGCGATGATGTGTGGCTTGTTGTGCTGGTAAATGGTGCGCTTGGTGTGCCTGACATACTCATGGCAAGCAATGCTCCCCAAGGTGTTGCGGTCCACGTTGCGGAACACAAGCTCTTCATTGTTCACTGGGAAGCTGAGCCGCGAGATCCAGCGCACAATGGCGTTGTACTCCTGACGATCCATTCCTGCTCACAGATCTGCTGGTACAGACAGACATATCTGAAGACAACAGCTGGGAGTATAATGCCTTCATATCTAACTCAACCTATGCGTGCAACATACCTGGCGAATTATTCATGAAATTAAAGATTTTCACAACACCGCACCAATTTACACAATCCTATCTTAAAACATACTGATACAGGGTCGCCCACGGCAGTGATCAACAACAATATACAAAAACAATTTAGCAAAAAAATAAGGAGAAATAATTCGTACATTTGCAGCACTGACCTTTAATTTTTGCACCTCCCGCCAAGCCTACATGCATAAAAAATAAGCAAATGATTCAAGGCCCATTTACGGAGTATCGAATCTTGTGCACCCTGTGCATGTGAATTGTGAAACTTATAGGGTTATGACGTCATAGATAAAAAAAATGTTTTAAATTGCTCTAATTTAATTCAATTTCCATAAACACTATTTAATTATACATCATATATGTAATTGTGATATAGTTTAGGTTTAGGTTTAGGTTTAATCGGATGGGCTGATGTAGACTGGGTGTCTATTCGGTGCCCACGTCAGGTATAAGGTAGATATACTGGACTGATTGGATCTAGGGTATAGCCGTTTGCGCCATGAATTGGTCAAGCCGGTTCTTGAAAGTGTTAGTGCTGTTTGCCAGTACAACATCTTCTGGTAGTTTGTTCCAGTCATGGATTATACGATTTGAGAAGAACTTTGCTCTTGTAACAGTTTTCGATCTTTTGACTTTCAGCTTCTTGCTGTGGCCTCTTGTTTGGCAGTCATTGTTCATGGTGAAGAATTGCATTGGGTTTACATTGATGTGTCCTGAAAGCAGCTTGAATGTCTCTATAAAGTCTCCTCGCCTCACTCTATCTTCGACACTTGGCAAATCCAGTCTTCTCAGTCTCTCCTTGTAGGTCAAGTTCTTCAGTCCCTGTACTAGCTTGGTAGCTCTTCGCTGTACCTTCTCCAATGCCCTGAAGTCTTGTACCATATGCGGACCGACTGCCTGAATACAGTGTTCTAGGTGAGGACGTATATATATAGTGTACAAGGTTTTGAAGTTTGTTGTAGTCAGGGTGTCAAAGGTCATTTTAAGAAGTTTCAGTGCTGACATGGCTTTGTTACTGGCCTTCAGGCAGTGGTAGGTAGGCTTCAGCGAGCTAGACACCCAAACTCCCAGGTCTTTCTCCACATCTGTTTCAATAAGCTCCAATGCATCTCCATTTGGTTGTTTCAGATGATACCTTTCTCTGGGATTTCTGGTGCCAAAATGCATTACTTTACATTTCATCGCATTGAACTGTAAGAGCCACTTCTCGGACCAGCAGGCCAGTGTGTCCAGGTCAGATTGGAGCACTTCTGCATCTTTCTTGCTTGACACCAGTCGATACAGCTTTGTGTCATCAGCATATAGTTTCATTGTGCTGCGGACAAGGCTTGGCAGTTCATTGACGAACAGTATAAACAATACTGGGCCTAAAACCGATCCCTGTGGCACTCCACTGCTGACATTGATGCTGTCCGACAGCTTCCCGTTTACTGACACCCGTTGTGTTCTGTTTCTCAAGAACTCAGAGATCCACTTTAGTATGTTTCCCCTGATTCCATATCCATGTAGTTTTGCCTTCAGTCTCTCATGCGGTACTGTGTCAAAGGCCTTGCGATAATCTAAGTAGATCACATCAACACCGTTTCCTTCATCAATCAAACTTGTCCAGTCTTCAAATGTCTCCATTAAGTTTGATTGACAGGACCTTTTTCTGACAAATCCATGTTGGTGATCAGATATGATGTGGTTGGATTCCATGTGCTCTGTAATATTCCTTCTGATCAATCTCTCTAGTAGTTTACATACTTGGCTTGTTAGACTGACGGGTCTATAGTTTCCTGGTTTCTTCTTACTTCCACCTTTAAATATTGGAATCACTGTGGCTTCCTTCCATACTTTTGGTATCATGCCTGCTTCCAGTGACTTATTAAACAGTGAGGAAAGAGGCTGGGCCAGGGCCTCAGCACAGGACTTCAGCACTATTGAAGGGATCCCATCAGGCCCAGAAGCCTTGTCCCCATCCATCCTCCTCAGCTCTTCCAATACTTCCTGTCTGGATACCATCATATTAGTCAGAATCGTAGTGTCTATGTCCACTGGGATGGTGGGAACCTCTAAATTGGGATCCTCTTCCACAAATACTGTTTGAAAAAATGAGTTAAGTGTCGTTGCTGTTTCTTCATCCGTTTTTGTCAATTGTCCTGCGCCCTTGTCCAGTGGTCCCACCATTGCTTTTACCTTGGTCTGAGACCTTATGTATCTGAACAATGTCTTCGGTTCAATTTTTATTTTTCCCAATAGCGTGGCTTCATACCTTCTTCTTGCGCTTCTTATCATGCGTGTTGTGCGGTTTCGTTGTTTCACATATGCTTTATGCTGCTCTTCACCTTTTGTTCTGGAGTACTCTTTCCAGGTTTCATGTTTCTTTTTCACTTCACGCTTCAATTCATTGCTCCACCAGAGTGATTTGTTGCATTTTCGTTTCTGTCTATATTTGGGTACAAACTTTTGGATAGCTGTTTGCAACTTTTCCAAAATGAAGTCCCATGCTTCTTGCACAGCCATGCCTTCTAAGCAGTCCCAGTTTATTTTCAGCAATTCTTCTTTCATTTTGTTGTACCTGCCCCTCCTGTAGTTGAATGGGGTGTCCACCTTTTCTTTCATATGTGTGTGGTCTATTGTCTGTTTGTACTCGCACTTCCACTTCAACACAATGTGGTCACTTTTTCCTAGTGGTTGAAAGGGCTCCAGCTCATTAACCAAGTACTCTCTGCTAGCAAATACCAAATCTAATCTTGACGGGGTGTGTCCTTCCCTGTATCGGGTATCCGTATTGACATGTTGGTAGAGGAAAGCGTTTTGAGTGGCATCGAAGAATCGAGCAGCCTCACAATCCTCAGGGCCATCCACCACCCCGTCCTCCCAATATATATTCGGAAAATTAAAATCTCCCATTATCAGGACATTTCTATTCTTCACGACATTGTGATGCCGCAGTAGTTCAATCAGCTTTTCGTTGTTTTCCCTGGAACTAGTTATTTGAAACAGGACAACACGTGAACAAAATAGCTAAAAAAGATTATTAAAACGTCATTCAAAAAATAATATCCTTCCGGTTGGTAAATGTAACCGATGCGCATTATTCGTAAAAGATTCTGAAGCAAACAATTTCTTGTTCATTTCATGTATGCAATTAGTGAGTCCTTGAAGAACTGGTTCCATGATTCGCAAATGATTCGTTGTTTTTTTCACGCGCACGTAGCCAATTGGCTGATTTTCATTACAATCGCTTACTCGGCTGCTCTTTGAATATGTTTTTACCAATACGGGTATTTTCGGTAAATAACATCGCACCGAACGTCAGCGAGCGCGCTGTGGGTTTATATAGCCTTGGCGCTGTGTCGTGGCGTGTGTAGGTGGGTTGGTTTTGCTATTTCGGTATTTTTCGGTAAATGGATCCGTGGAATATTTTGTTTATTTTTTTACACTCAGCTGTTGGTGTTGGATGTTATTCTAAATTGTCATATTTTCCACTTCAGCGGTTGTCTGTTCATTCTGTTGACTGTTGTCGATCAGTTGGGCAAACTAGACTTTTGAAATCAAAATATGGAGGCATCAATAATTTGATTCTGGTGGGAGGAGCCATGACCAAATATGGGCATGGAATCAATTTTTTGATTCATTTGGGTACACTTTTCACTTCAAATGTATCGTTACGGTTGAAAAAAGGCCCATGACGGTGAGTTTTTTCTTTAAAAAGGCAGAAAAATGTGGTAGCTTTCCAAAAAGTGTTACCTCAAAACTAAGAAATTGTCCCTTTGGCCTTGTGAATGAGAGAAAGACAGAGCCACTGTCCATCACGTAAAAGCTGTTTTGAGGAAATCACACTGTATGTTATTTTTGTATCATGAATCGCATACTAAACAATCAGTATTTGTGTAAAATGGCAAAATGAATTTTTCAAACCCCTTATTAACATTGTTGTAGTGCTTTTATATTTATGATATGGTTTTTACCTGTTGCTTCAGTTTTTGTATTCTTGACATTTAAAAATTGTGAATTGTTATCAAATGTAGTGAAGGTTAACTACAACAATGCTATAGGTATCTGTTGTGGTGCTGAGGATACCACTAAATGAGAATAGTAGCAAGATAAATGATGTATTCCTGCAAGTCATTGTTGCCTATCTCTTAACATTACCTGTGAATCAAAATAATGATTAGCCAGCTGATGGGGAATCAATATTATGATTATCTGTTTAAAGTGAATCAATTCCTTGATTGCCTTTCACTACCTATAGAATTCAAATTGATATGATAGGAGCAATATTATTTTGCTTAGGAGATAGTTCCAGCATTTCTGTTCCAGATCAGGCATGCTCCTTCTTGAAACACTCTCTTATTTTTATGTGATTGGTAAGTTAGAAATGGTCTGCATTTATGCCCAAATATGGTCATAAGGAATCAATCTTTTGATGCCTCCATATTTTGATTCCAAAGGTCTAGTTTGCCCAACGGTTTTGTCTCTGATTTCAATTTGTGGGTTTTAGTACAAGCTACAACCCCCTGTAGTCGTGCATATGTGCGTTCCACAGCGATTCTGATTATCTTAAGAAGGAGGTATGGGCGGCGGAATGGGGGGCACCATACCCCCTTGATTTTGCCATATTAACATTAACCCGCCCCTATGGTTGGCATTGCATGGAAAGAATGGGACCAAAAGTCAGCAGTGCTGCCCCTTAATTGAAGGTGTTCTGCTGCTACTGGAAGGAGGGATTTCAATCTTGCATTGGGTTCAACTTTCAAGTGAGACTGACACCAGGTTATGAACTGAAAGACGTCAGGTGTGCCCACCCATCGGAGAATCAGGAGCATGCGGTGTGGTTGGCTGGTGGGCCTGTGATCAGTGTGGTGCTCCACAGAAAACTTCAGCCCACCTGGAACGTTACTGGCCAGTAGCCACCCATTTAGCCATTTAGCCTTAACATCTAAAACAGTAATCAGTGAATTGAGGTATCATTTCAGGTTACATGATGGTGATAAAAACATATTTTGATGTGGATTTTGGGCCTATTCCAGCGCCTCCAGTAGAAATTCTTGACTGGAGGCTCTACCAGAGGTTTTACTGGAGGCGCTCGAACGCAATCTGGAGATTTCTGGAGATTGGCATCACAGATACCAAAAGAATGATGATTGCTCTCTCTTGAAACGCAAAATTTGTTTTCAATTTTATCAAGAAAGATTAACAAAATTAAAGCAATGTAATTTTCTTTACATTCAAGTTATAAAATAATAAGTCAAAAGTCCTTTGTTTACATTCGTGATTGTCACATGTGCGCTATTATAATTGAAGACCAGACCAGAGCCTCCAGAGAAATTTTGACCTCCCAACTTTCTGGAGGCTACTGGAGGTTTCTGGAGCTTTGGCGAGAGCTTTCTGGAGCTTTCTGGAGGCGCTGGAACGCTCTCTGGAGGATTCTAGAGCTTTCTGGAGCTTTCTGGAGGTTTCTGGAGGCGCTGGAACAGGCCCTTTGTTTGCTGCAACTTCTAAATTCAAAATTCCAGTAACAACAAGACAAAATGCAGAGTATAAATGAAAAGACTATAGGATCAGTTTATTAGGGCCAAAAGATGGTGCTTTTAGGTTATAACAGGCCACTGCTGGAGTGAGGATTCAAAATATTTTTTGTGATTTACCTAGAATCTAGGTAGAGCTGTTAGTCATTACAATTGCACAGCTCTTCTCAGAAAACTACCTGTTGTGACTTGTTGATTTAGTTGCGGCGATCGGACGAGTATCTCACAAAAATAGGCGTTTGCGGCGAACCCCGATGCGGTGATTGTATCAGCGACATTTTGCCACGAGGGAGTTGCCGAGAATGAGCCGGCACTGATCTATTTGTGTGAAATGGAAGGTGAAAGGTCAGTATTTTTGATAATTGTGCCACTGACAATGATGAGCAGTTGGCCGTGCATATTAAACTGATAAACTGTGGCTAGAAAACTGATATATCGTAGACATTATGTTCGTTGCGGCAATAGTGGCGCGAGTTCCACGTGCCATTGGGGCTGATATTTCGGCGATTTCAATGGTCATAGTCCACTATGGGGCAGCCGACACTTATCGCCGAGAGGCAGGATAATTGAAGCTGCACTAAACCGCCAGTCCCTTGTAGCTATGAACGACGGCAACCCAACGTTTGTCAGTAGTAGCTACCACACAACCTCTGCAATTGACTTGTCAATTTCTTCCCCGAGGATCGCACCGCTCTTTAGATGGACCGTAACATCGGATCCGCTGTTTTCAGACCATTATCCAATTCACATCATGCTTACCAGTGCAACCACGCTGTCACCAGCACCGACACTGAAGGTATGGCAAACAAATAACGCGGATTGGTCGGGCTTTAACGCAAAGGTCAACAGACATGCTCCCTACGGCCTGTCTCAGACCATTTCCAATTTTATGGGGGCTATGAAGAAATCGGCCAGTGAAACGCTAAAAGAAAAAACTATTAAGATTGGAACTGCAAATGAATCTAAAAATCTTGTCTGGTGGAACTGGAAATGCCAAAGAGCCAAAGCAATAAGAAAAAGAGCCTTCAGAAACTTCCAGAGATGCATATGTCCCAGACATGCCCAACTGTATACCGCTGCCCGTAAAGAATGTGCGGAAACTATATACAAAGAAAAGAAGGCGGCATGGCAAAACTATGCCGCTAAATGTAATCGTTTTACCCCGCTCAGCGAACTCTGGAGTCATGTTCGTGCTTTCGCCTCACGACGAACTAATTTAGGTGCCTTTCCGCAATTGCTTTCAAACAATATATTCGTAACTGACCCAGTTACCGTCACAAATATATTTGCCCAACACTTTGCCAACACATCGTCTACAGATATTTACTCCTTGAGCGTGCATCGAGCTCTCGTTAATAGAACAGTAAATCTTGATTTTTCTTCTGCAAACTCTGAACCATACAATGCTCCTTTTACCCTAAGAGAACTTAAACTATCCCTAGCAAAGGCAAGCACTAAAACTTCGGTAGGACCAGACTCCATTCCATATTCTTTTTTCACAAAATTGAACGAACTTAACCTTTCCACACTACTGATAGCATTCAACAAACTATGGACTGAGGACAACTTCCCGGATGAATGGCTTAAAAGTATAATCATACCTATCCTCAAACCCGGCAAAGACCAGCACGACGCAAATTCGTATCGCCCAATCTCACTAACCAATTGTGTCTCCAAGATTTTCGAAAGAATGGTAAACAGGCGCCTGCGATTTTACCTTGAGAGCAACCATTGCATTGATATATGTCAAAGCGGTTTTCAGAAAAATCGTAGTACGGCAGACAATATCATTCGCCTTATCTCGGACATCCAGGTAAACTGGGAACATAGGCGACCGACTGTTGCTATTTTCCTAGATCTAATGTCAGCCTTCAACAAGGTACACAGTTCGACGATAATTTATAAGCTGCACTCAATCGGAATCAGAGGCCATTTGGCTGCGTTTCTTCAAAATTTCCTAAAACCCCGAACTTTCAAAGTTCGTTGCCAAGCGACACTTTCTGACGACTTTGTAATGGAACATGGCGTCCCTCAAGGCAGCGTGCTGTCACCTACGCTGTTCTTGATTGCCCTGAACGATATGCTCCTACTCCTGCCACGTGTTCTAACATTTTCTGTCCGCTATTCGCTTTTTGCTGATGATATAGCAATATGGGTATCCCACAAAAACTACAAACAGGCTTATTCTATATTGCAAACAGTGGTTGATCACTGCGTTAAATGGTGC